TTGCGAATGCCACTGCAACAGTTTACATGCGATGAAAGAAAAAAAGAAACTGTTGAGACACATCTAGAAATTTCTTATTAATTATTTTATTATTAAACTTGGCTTCTTATATAGAAGGGATTTTTCTTTTGTCTCTTGACTTTTGAAAATGACATTATTTTTGGTATAGTTTTCTTCTGATAATTAGAGTAGACATGTAGTAAAATATAAACTATCAAAATTGAAGGTGAGTATATGTATTCTCAAATTAGGCTAAAATTTCTCAATTACAAATTTAAAAGTATATGTTTAAAAATTTGGTCTCATATCATGTTATTTATGTATAGATTGACAATGAAAAAGTGAAAGATCAATTAGAGAGGAACAGGTGGAGCAAAGTGATTTTTATCATTGCATGTCTTCCTCCTATGTGCATATTATGTAAATATTTATGTCTATAATCTAAAACTACGATGTTGTGTAGAATGAAAATATTTTTTTACTTAAATTATTTGAGATTTTCCTATTAATGTTGGATTTGCTTTGGATAATATTAACGTGTGGGTAATTAATTGTATAAGAATCCCCCTAGCTCCTAAAGTTCATTAGACTAGCCTCCCTGCACGCGCGGAAGACCTTTTTTTTTAATCATGCGCTCTACGCGCAACTTACAAAGTTTCGAAATTTTTTTTTCGCAATTGTATTTATATAGAAGTCCGTTTCAACAGTTTCATATTTTAATCACGTGCATGTGATATATCGTCGTCTTAAAAGTTTTCCTTTATCGCCCGTATTTTTCTAGACGTCCATCTTAGTAGTTTTTCTTTTTCTTTTATAGCATGTAAACTGTTAAGATGAATGTCTAGAAAAATACGGGCGATAAAGGAAAACTCTTAAGACGAAGATATATCACATGCACGTGATTAAAATATGAAACTGTTGAAACGGACATCTATATAAATACAATTACGAAAAAAAATTACGAAACTTTGTAAGTCGCGTGTAGTGCGCGTGATTAAAAAAAAGTCTCTCGCATGCACAAAAGCGCTTGCAGGGAGGCTAGTAAAGCATAAGGGCAAATGGGTGGAGTTGCTCTTAGCAACTCCACCCATTTGCCCTTAGCCATGGCAAGGGGGGGAGCTAGGGTAGCTACTATTCACCTGAATAGTGGTTGCCCTTGCAAATCAGAATTTTGTGTTTCCACGCGTTGCCCTTGCTGAGGGTAGTTACTATTCATTTTTTTGTTTTATTCACAATTTTTTTTACCTCAATAATTAATTTGGATAATATTTTCGGATAAGATTTACGGGTTCCTACGTGTCAAGACTATTCATAATCGGATAAAATTTCGGGATAAGATTTTTGGGTTCAAATTTCGGATGAATTTCAAAATTCAAATTTCAGATAAATTTTTGGGTTCAAATTTCGAATGAATTTCAAAATTCAAATTTCGGATGAATTTCAAAAATCAAATTTCAGATACATTTGGGTTCAAATTTCGGATGAATTTCAAAATTCAAATTTCAGATAAAATTGGGTTCAAATTTCGGATGAATTTCAAATTTCAGATA